TCATATAAATTAAAATAAAGGAAAGGGATGCATGCTTAATCTACTTGCTTCCTTCGCATTCTCTCATTTTTTTAATTACTACAAATTGGGGGAAAGGGAAGTCAAAGGGAAAAAAAAAGAATAAAAATTTTAAAACTTGAAATAACTTTTATACCCTTATTTTTTTATATTCCAAATAAAGCTTTTATTTATTTTCAAATCTAATTAATGCCAAATCTTCTTACAATCCTTCATGAACTCATAGTCTAAAAAATATATATTTTAAAAAACAAGATATTACCTTATTATAAAGCAAATCCCTTTAAAAAAACAAAAAACGAAAAAAGAAAATTATTTAATTTCATATTATCGTTTTAATACATAAATCAATATATATAATCGTAAAAAAATAAGGTACTAATTCAAAGATTCAAATTAGTGTCCTAAATCACATGATCAATGTTGTTTACCTTGCTATTTGTCTAGTCATGTAATATATTCATAAAATTAATTTAAACACATGTATCATGCATCGTGGGCAAAGACTTGGGATATTTGATTTTTATATTTTATAACAAGTTTTTAAAAGATATTTGGTTTTTTACAATTACAAATATTTTACATTATTGTGCATTTTAGTTTTAATATTTCACCAAAAAAGTTTAGTTTGATATTTATATGTTATTTTATAAAAAGAAGCTTATAATTAAAAAAAAAAGTTATAATTAATTATTTTCTTTATTTTTCTCTCTTTAAGCAAATAATAGTTGTTATGATTCTTTTTTTTTCTTTTATTAATTTAGTAATCCATATAAGATTATATGTATCATTTCCTTTCCTCTAAAAATTTTTCTTTCCTTTATTTTCCTTCACTAATATTTATCCAAACATAACGTTAGATTTAGTAAAATGTTCTTTCAACTTTAGTATTTATTCATTTTCATTAATGTTTTAATGTTATTATAAAACAATTAGAAATTTAATAAAACTCTGCAATATTAATGAGTCAAATATTAGAGAATCATAAACTATTATAATTATTATTTCCTTAACTTTCATAAAATATATGAATCAATATCAATTTTTAGTAAATTTATTTGAATCAATATCAATTTTTTATTTTATTTTTTAAATATAATTAATGTTAACCATAAATTATTAAGATAATGAATTTTTTTAATATTATAAAAAGTTTGCAACATGAAATTAAAAAGTTTTTGCATCTTTAAAATAAATCAATTTCTTTTATGTCAAATAAATGAATAAATGAATTTTTTTATTAAAGATTATAATAAGTAGATTCTTTTGTTTATTTTCAAATCTATATGAAATTTGACAAATATAATTAAAAAATTATTATTTTATATAAAATACATTTTAATATAAATGCCTCGACAAGTTACATACAATATGTTTTTATAATATGATTAAGTAATAATTAAAAGTATATATAAATTAAGCTAATATTTAATTTTATATAAAACCAAAATATCTATTAAATAAAAGTGGTTAAAAACCAAATTACATGTATCTTTGATATCACTATTCAAACCATCAATAACAAATGTAAATAGCAAATTAATATATCTAACAAACAAATAGTTTCAAAGAGGGAAAACAATTACAATTTAAAAATAGTCTAACTAATGATAAATGGAAAGTCACTTATATAATAAAAAAAAAAAAAGAAAAACTATAAGCCATAAAGAAAATAATAAGTTTATAAAAATATTAACAAAATCAGTTAAAAATTTTATAAATGCGAAGAACATCAAAAGTCAAAAACTTGTATAAATTTAATGCAACTGAAAGTATAAAAATAATAACTTAAATGGTTGAATTTTATGTAATAAAATTAAGAGATTTAAGATTTATTTGAAATGTCATGTAACCAAATACTACATAATTTAACATGGAATTTATTGAAAAAGTTAGTTTTATTATTTTATTTCACAAGTAAAAAAATTAAAAAAAAAAAAGAGATTTTAGTAAATCAATCGTACTGGAATTAAAAATTGTAAAAATGAGAAAAATTCATTATTCAAATTCAACTAATTATCATAAAAAAATCATGTAGATATAACATGAATGCGTAATGGAAAAGTTCCTAATGAAAACTTTTAAAATATCCTTTCAACTCTAATAGTTATTTATTTTTATTAATATTTTAATGTTATTATATGGAAAAAAAATAGAAGTATAGTGAACTTAATAAAATGATGATTAAATATCAAATAATCATAAATTATTATTATTATTTTTTCTACTTCCACAAAATATTTATTTTCTAATAACTTGCTACGTGAAACATATAAAACTGTGAAAGTTATCTTTTCTTTATCAATAAAAAGCCTTGAATTTTATAACTTACATAAACCTTACACTCTTGTTGCATTCAAACAAGTTCTTAATTTTTAATTTGCATCTAAATTAAACTCTTAATCATTAATTTGTATCCAAATAAGCTCTTAAATGTTTAATTTATATCTAAATAAGCCCTTAACATAAATAATTCTTTCATTTGAAATAAGAGTTTATTTGAATACAAATAAAACTATAAGAACTTATTTGGATATAAAAAAAAGTATAAGGACTTATTTAAGAAAAGTGGAATAGTTTATGGGTTTTTTTAGTAATTTAGCTGTTAGGTCATTTACTATCGATTTGAAATTACTTGTGCTGAACTTTTTTTTTCCTTTTTTTTTATAGTTAAAATGATGACAAAATCAATTATAAAAAATCATAAGTTATTTGCATGAGTAACACTTATTATTTAAACTTACATTTATAATATTTTTATTTAAATCGATATTGATTATTTACTTTAATTTTTTTAAAATATAAATAATGTTAATCATAAATTATTATAAAAATGAAATTTTTTGTTTTAGCATTATAAGATTACAATATGAAATTGAATGAACTTTGCATCTTTTTAACAATAAATCATTTTTTGTGTCAAATAAATGATTAAACAAAAAATTTTACTAAATATTATAATAAGTGGATTTTTCCCATTTTCATATCTACATGGAATTTGGCAAAATATAATTAAAAATCATTATCTTTATGATATACATTTTAATATAATATTGTCCATAGCATACTTATATTTCTTTTAGAAATGGTTTGGCATGCTACAATTTTTTTTCCAATGAAATTATAAAGTAATAATTAACAAAATATATTTGACTATAGCACTTCTCAATAACAAATTAATATATTCGACTGATAAATAAATTCAATAAGGCAAAACACAATAATTATAACTTATAAATGGTGTAACCGAGGACAAATTGAAGGCACCTCAAACATTACAAATGTTTAATTATAACTTGAAAACAATAATGATATAAATTTAAAAATAAAAATGAATTTTATATTTTATGATTGCTACAAATAAAGGAAATTTATTACAAAAAAGGAGAAAATGTGAAAATTTTAATTTAGATAAAATTTTCTTTTCTTACATGAATTCTAACAATTAACACCAAAATGTACTGGAAATCTGAAAATTTTGCTTACATAAAATTTATTAAAATTACTTGGAATCTAATCATTAGCACAAAAAAAGTAACAAAAAAAATAAAATAACAACTACAATGTGAAAAATAAGAAAGACTAATTAATATAACATCAAACAATAGCTTCAACATAAAACTTGTAAAATAATATGTGAGCAAAACTATATTTTTTTTATTTTCAATTATATTAATGTTTAAATTTATTTACCTAATATAATTCATATGAAAAATTATTGAATATAAAAACTTAAAACTTAATATAAAATATTATAATATGAATTTTATAAGAAACTAAGAAATAATATAAAAAATTTTAACTATTTTTACAAATTCATCCATAGAAAGGAATATGTTATTAGTAATTATCATAACGGTTTTGGGGACAGCTAGATGAATTTAAAAATAAAAAAAATCACCATCAATCTTTTTTGGTTAGATCTGATTGACTACATATTAAAACCTACCTTTTCAATAAATCTTAAATTAATTAAAGTTTATTAAAAAGATAAATTTAAGATCTGTGAAACAGTTTAGGTTTGGAAGACGGTTACATGTAGAGAATGATTAGCATCCCCATGGCGTCCATCTAAAATTGGTACCAATTAATTATGTGTTTATTCTTTAATCATGTCAAAATGATCTTAATTTTGGTGTTTAAAAATAATTTCTTTTTTTTATTTGCAACAAAAATATTTTGTTTGTTTTTTATCTTTTGTTTTAAAAATAAATAAGAATCTTGTGTATCAAAGACTTTTGTAAAATATTTCAATACGTTAGTAATATTTAGAGGAATCTTCTCATCTAAGGATTTTTTAAAATTACTAAGACTTCTTAAGACTTTTATCCTCAACGGTTCATATTTATCCTTAAAATTAATATTTAAGAATGCATATAACAAATACTTGTGATTTATCTCAAATGTGTTTTCTTATCATAAAAACATTTCTTATTATTATTATTTTTTTTATTAACCAAAAAAATGAGAAAATCTTTGTAAAAAATTATTTTAAATGCTCCAATGCATTAACGATATTTTAAATAAATTTTTTTACCTAAAAATTCCTAAAAAAACTACTTAAATTTCTTTAAAATCTCATTCTTAGAGATTTTGTTTCTTTTCAAAATTAATGTGTATAAATAAAATACGATGCACATGGATTAAGTCGTAACACTATTGCATTATAACACTATTGGATTAATTCATAACCTCGTTCCATTATGAGGTTGGAGCCAAAGAATCAAGTAAGGCTTATCAACAGCCTCAAGTGGATATATAAAAAAAATAATTTTTAAAAAATTTATTTATTACTGAGATGATATTATTCGATTAATTGATAATCTATAAAATCTATACATTGACGTGCATCAATGCATCATATATATATATATATATATATATATATATAGGAAGCGAAAGTTGAGTTTCTTCTAATTGGAGTCTTCCTGCAATTAACTTAAGCATGAATTCTCATTGCAATATGAGGTTGGAGGCAAAGAATCAAGTAAGGCTTATCAACAGCCTCAAGTCGACAAAATCACTGCAAATAAGAATGAGTTTGGCGATGATGATCAATTTTATGCAGGTCTTGATCTTGATGCCGTGGAGGCACAAGCTATCTTGCTTCTCAAAAACAAGTCAGAGTCATCTTTGGAGAAGCAAGGGATAATTGCTGAATCAAACCTACAGAAAGGTGGGCTTGAGGGTTTTCCATCATTTGATCTAGGGATATGGTAATTTAGGCAAAACATTTAACTGGACTGCTTAGGCACCCGCTGCAAAATCGCTCTTGGAATTATCAGTATATCGAAATGATTTCTTGTAGCCGCTCACAAGTTAGATTAGATTTATTTTGGATCAGGATATTGTAAGCTGTGGTGGAATGTCTTGTATAGTTCGTAGAGCTCAACGTTTAGAGGGAAAACAATGTATTTATGTATCTAGTTAATGATGTCCTTCATGTGTTGAATCAAGTTATGAATTCCATGCCAAATAAAAGTAAAACATCATAGGAGAAATATAGCATGGAAACTCGCCTTTTCTTTGTTTTCTTTTACCATTTAGCATTTCAATAACAAAGTATTAATCGATGCCAGACATCTTAAGACGAGAAGGAAAATGTCCTATAGGGAGTGGCTGCCTTCGCATTTCAGCAAAATTTGTTGGTTATCAAGGATCTGAACCTGTCAAATAGGACAAACATCCATTTGAATTTTTACTTGTTACTAGCACTGAAAGCACCATTGCGTTGAAAACCATTACACCAAACAAATCCTAGAAATATAAAATAGAGCTTCAGTGACTTCACAGTCCGGTCCACAATCAGATTTGCCCAAGCATCCAACAAGCATTACAACAAAATCTACATTTCCTAAGGGTTAATGGTTAAAAAACATTTTTACATGAGGCATGCCACCCAGATTCACATCCAACAAAAACAGATTCATCTAGAAGCGAAACCGAGATTATGCAATAAAAAAAGAGGGGGGGGGGGAGCAGCAAAAAGTGACTAGCCTTGGCCTGAGCCTGACATGTATGACATGGCTCGCCGGAATTCTAGAGATTTGAAAGCAGAATCTGGGAAATGTTTTCCATCTGGTACCCATAATCCACCTGTCTGTGGCAGTGAAATCTGAGGTTGGCTACTCACTTTACCTTCTTGACCAGCTTCAGCGGATGATAATTCTTTCTTTTTCTTCACAAATTCAAAGAACTCCGCAACTTGGCATGCATACCTTCATCAAAGCCAGTTCAGAAACAATTAAATCTAAAGGCACACGGGATATATGAACTTTTCACTAAAGGCATAGATCCCAGGATACTATATGAACTACGACTTGACAAATGTTACAAATCCAGTACCCAAAGTAATAAATGAAGAAACGGTAAGTATTTATTTATTTTGAAAAGACAAGGAAGCTCAAACCAAGGACGTGTAACATTTACAAAAAGCATCGTGGTAGATTTAACCTAAGGGGTTTCAGATGTGAAGAGAATGATGCAGGTAGAAATTTATTTCTCTTTGCATGATGATACTGTAATAATAAATTCTATAAACCATGAATCCAATCCCTTAGACATCGTACCACTTGAGTGCTTAGAAGTTTGATATTTCAGCACAATTTTCAAGCCTATTATCGTTGTATTGATTTGACAGATGATAGGAGGCCTTGATGCTCCTAAATAAGATATTATCAAAAGAGTTTATATTCTAAAGCATGCACTGAAAATTGGTCTCACTAGCGTATCAGATTCCCACCTCCACATTGAAAAATTAATAAAATGCAAATCAAGTATCATTCTTGATTTAAAGTGATAGCTTCAGGGTCAGGAGATGAAACAAATTAGAAACCAGCCTTTCACCATTGAAGAAGCTCTTTTGTTTATATGTTTTTTGGACAAGTAAGCAAAGCTCATTTGATATTCAGCCCAGTCTTGGCCCTAGTGATTGTTACCTCTCTTTAAGAGGGTTGAGGCTAAGGTTCAACTCCCTTCTCCCACATTAGTCTTCCTCAAATATACCCTAGCCCCCCAAACCAGTAAAAAAAAGTACATACCTATCAAGACAGCATTTCAAATTGCAGATATAATATTCAGTTAACTACTATCTTTTAAACAATACGATGAATACTGAAGGTAATGTCATCTTACTGTCTCTTTGCTTCAATATCCCTGCTGAAATCAATGTTGGGTTCACAGTCCAGCACCAAAGCAGGAACCTGTTCATAAACAAAGAAACTAGGATACAGTCTTAAGGAAGGCAACAATCTAAATTTCATAAAAACAAAACCATCATACCTTTTGAATACTAGAATGCATACGGTTACCCTCTAAAAAGAACACTCGATCTCTGATATCAGGATGCAGAGAGCTATCCATAAGGATGGGTAACTTACTAACAGACAGTACTCCATGATTTCCACTTTCAAAAGGGAAAAGCCAACTCTCATGCTTTTCATGCAAGTCACAGAGATAATCTAGGCTCACTCCACCCTCTTCTGCTCTCTTTCGCAGCATCATCCTCTTATGGCATGTATCAGGACTTGCCCTTAGATAGATAAAACCATCAGGAATAAGCCCTGGCAAGCATGATACAACTGGATCAAACCAGGAGTCATAAATGCTGATCTCCATCTCATTCATCCAATTTGCTTCATGAACAGCTCGTACAAACACCTTAATTAAGTAAAAATGAGATAAAGTTGTCAGTCTTGAAACTCTTAGGTCAAGGTTTTCTTCCTCTTAATTGGAATAAACCAAAGCAGAAAGGAAATAACTGCATGGATATAAATCCAAAGACTTTGGTCATTGTTCAACTGAAAAATCTGCAAGAACTTCTAAAATCCTTTTTCATATTGGACCAAACTTATCTTATAATCCTCAAAAGATAAAAACTTAAGATCAATGAAAACTTCTGGAGATGCGAACATGACAACCACAAAGAGAAACTCTATTATCATATCTTCATAACCTACAGAAAAAAAATAAAAGTAATAGTCAGAAGCTATTCAATGCTTACCATCCTGTCACTGAAAACGCTCCTTTCCATCAATCTGAGTGGCTTAATTCCCCCGGATGACTCTCTCTCCTGCATAACCCTAGTAACAAAGACATAATTTTGAAAGGTATAGGCATACCTATGAGGTTCAGCATAAAATGCATCTAATATATTGAAATGGTCAGGTCCAACATTTTGCCACTTATCAACGGGTTCTGGAACAATCTCAACAAGATCCCGTAGCTCTAGTGTTTCATTAGCTATTCTCTGAAGGAATGTTGTCTTTCCGACACTGATATTTCCTTCAACACAGAATGTTAACCGTTTCTTTGCAGCTGGTTTTACATCTGAGTTTAAATCCTTCAGTTCTTCATCCACACTCTCCTTAATAAAAGTTGTTATACTCTCAGCATGATTTCTGTGCATAATCCCAACTGAACTTTGTAAATACTCAACCATCTTCTGACTAGCCTTTCCAAAAAACTGCAAACAAGTAAAGCCCAATTTAGCAAACAATCTCATCAAAGCATCACAGAAAAATAGTGGTTTCCTCCTAGCACATGAAAACATAAGTTTGCACATGACTTTCTCAACCTATATACTCAAAAACTCTGGTCTTCACATTTAGGAATTCAATAATAGCAACCAGTTGGACCACGTTGGATACAGATTGGGCTTCCATCCTTTATTTTTCTTTCGGTCCATGACTATTTAATACTCCCATCATCACCACTCACATAAGTTGAACCCACCCATGAACTATGGATGTCATACCTGTGAACGGTAATAAAGGTCATCTAAACGTAGGCACATTTTGGTCCTGGAAAATGAGATTGCACACTTCATTTCTTTAGTACAAATGCATACTTGGAAATTACTTTCACAAAAAAAAAAAAAAAAATCGAAACCAATTTATATTTACTCTTCCTATTGCAAGAACATTAGCAAGCAACACTTTCAGTCAGCATCTACAAGTTTTATCCAATAACCATACAGCCTGGAAAGAAAAAGCTCGGAAGCTAGAAAGAGCCTGCTATGTGTAATGGAGACATGAATCTATACAGTGATGTGGATAAGATCCTAGAAACATAAGGGCTGTATAAACGCACCCATTTCTGAAATAGATTAAGAAAAAAAAAACAGACCACCCATTATCTGCAACACTGCAAACCAATAAATCAAATTAAAAAATCAACCAAAAAGAAAAAAACCCTTTCCAGAAAATATGGAAATATAACCAACAAACACTTTTAGCTCCAAATATTGCCATGAAAGACTAAATACACCAATCCCTAAAACCCAACAATCTCATCAAAGCATCACAGAACAAAAAATAACATCCCTAAACCCCAACTCAGTTTTAAACAGTTCAATCCAAATAAACTTAAAAAAATAATAATTAAAAAAAAAAAGAAAAAGAAAACCTTATGCCTGTACAAGTGCTTGAGCTCAGCAACACCTTGAATCCCATTCTCAACAAGCTTCCTCAAATTTCTGGGTCCCACACCTGGAATAGTCAACAAATCCGGACTCCCCACCAAAACCCCTGAACCCTTATGCCTTGTACTCAACCTTATCGGCTTCTCTTTTTCTTCTTTCCCTTCATTTCCACCAAAACTCTTCGACCCTTCACTGGTACTCAACTTCTCCTCCACCCCACCTGAATGGCACCAAGCCGGTCGAATCCCAACCCTCCTAGGCCAAGCCCGTAGACAGGTTCTTGTATTTAATCTGGGACAGTAAATACTAAAAGTAGCAGTGGTATAAAACAACCTGGAAAAGGAAGGGAATTTGTTGGTAAGAGCGGCAGCGGCAAGGGCTGAGCTGCAGCCCGGGAGAGTGGCTGTGGGCATTCTGAAAGGGGTATTATTAGTAGCAGTAAAGGAGAAAGGACGAGAAAGAGAAAGAAAAGGCACAGAGGGTTTAAGAAAAGGCAAAGAGGGTTTAAGGGAAGAAGTAGAAAGAAGGGGAGGGAAAGAAGGGCTTCTTCTTATCAGTTTCTGCATCCCTCAAACGCATTTCACTGTCTCTGGGTTGTTCGCTTTCTTTGTTTGGTGTTTGGGTTTCTATTAAAATTCAATGGAAACTAAATTGAAGAGAAGAGTGAGAAAAGAGAAAAGAGCAGTGGAAGAGAGAAGAGGCGGGAAGAAGGGGGGGGGGGGGGGGAAAGGGTTTTGCAGTAGTTGGCGTAAGCGGTAAGGCCTCTGATTCGCAAAATCTTAAATTTAAAGGGAAAATGTGATATTTAGAGTTTTATTTAATTTTTAAAAGATTTTGTTTTTAGATTCAGTCATGTGACTGAAAGAATTTAAATTTAGTAAATTATGTATTTTGATCATAATTTTTTTGATAATCTTATAAAAAAATCTTTCATTTTATTTTATAAAAATAAATATGACAAATGATGTCTTTATAATTGAATGAATGAAGTATTTTATTTAATTTTATTTTTATCCTTAAATAAACAAGACAAATGACATTTTTATCATCAAATGATACTTTCATTATCAAACGATGTATATTTTTATCATCAAACGATGTCTTTATTAAATTTTTATTTATATAAAAATATAAAATATTTAATTACAACATTTAATTAGAAAAATAATTATAATTATTTGAATTTAAAAATTAAAAATACTCAATTACAATGTTTAGTTAAAAAAACACTTTAATTACTTACATCTAAACCAGATACTGAAAATTACAACAACCTTGTTGAATGCCATGAAGCTTTGCAGAAAGTTGCCTTTTTCAATTGAGTTGGATATCCAATACTCACTTAATTATGCCAAATGTTCTATGGTACTATACCTATTTATATATAGTGATTTTTGTGTTAATTTAAACAAAATATCCTATCCTGGTTGCATAAAAGGCAACTAGCATCTGATGATCAGAAGTTGACACCATGAATATTTTCTTACCTTTAAGCCATGACTTCTAGCACAACAAAGCTAGATGGCATGAGATGATCAGAAGGTGACAAAGCCATGCGATGGGTTTTCATATCAGTGTAACACTTGGCACACATTTCTCTGTTGCCATATGTCCCGGTAGAACACATTTGCATCTATCACAACATGTGATACATAGCTCTCAAGCTATAGAAACGTATGCCTATTATGACGTAATTTAGTTTGAATTATGGCGTTTCTTCATTACAACGCAATAATCATTTCATTTCATATCTTAAACAACTGATAATTATGACATATGATAAATGTCGTAATTTTCAGTTATAGAATATATGAGATAAAAAAAAAAGAAACGAACCAATTTTGGCATTTTGTTCAAAATAAAAACACCATAATTGAGTTAAAATAAAATTTAATTTCAATTTAAAACTTGCTTTTCAAAAAGATAACATAGATAGAGAAAATTTTTTATTCAAATCAAATTTAAAAGTTAAGCAACTTTCCATCTAAAATCAATGCAAGTTTTTTATTCTGGGACTTTGGATACTATTAAAAAATCTAATATTTTTTTTTTAGAATCAAATAATCTTAAATTAAACGTGAGAATAAAATACACACAATCAAGATTTCAAGAAAAATTTTTACATTTCCCCAAATTAAATGCATAGCTAAAGACTTTTTAAGTAGGGTTTTTAATTGATTTTTTGTTAATAGAAATAGCATTTAAAACACAAAACCTGATCATATGACATGAATACATATGAAAATAAAATATATAAGTGAAACGATTTAAAATTTTAGTAATAATTATATATTAATTTAACAAAAGCTAAAATATGAAAAAGCCTTTGAAGTATACAAAATAATCTAACTAAGCTCTTATACTATTATATCATCTAAACAAGCCCTTCAACTTTTAATTTTTTATTATTAAAGCCCTTTTACTTTTATTTTCTATTATCAAAGTCCTTCTATTCTTATATTAAGCTTGCGCCAATAGGAATGTAATTGATCGAGTTCAAACCAATACAGTATTAAGCTCGAGCTTGAGGTCAATTCGAAATTCAAGACTCGAAAGTCAACTCGAATTCGATTAAGTTTTATTTTTCTAGCTGGAGTTCGACTCGAGATAAAAATCGAGCTACTTGAGCTCGCTCGATTAGGTTTAATTAATATATATAAATAAACTCGATTCTTATATTCAACAAAAGTTCGATTATTTGTGCTCAAGCTCAAACTTAAGTTTGAGATATTTTATTCATTAAAATAATAAAAATATATTTAAATATAAAAGCTCGATTATGCTCGTGAGCTACTTGAACTGGATATAATAATGCTCGAACTCAACTCGATTAGTAAGTCATGCTACTTGAGCTTGAGCTCGACTCGATAATAATCAAGTTGAATTCGAATTTTATTCGAATTGAACCCTAATAACTTGTGAATACTAATGTATCATTTATACTTATAGCATGAGATAATCAGAAGATGCCAAAGCCATGCGATGGGTTTTCATATAAGTGTAACACTTGGCACCCATTTCTCTGTTGCCGTATGTCCCTGGTGGAACACATTTGCATCTATCACAACATGTGAGGCATAGCTCTCAAAGTTATAGAAACGTATGGCTATTATGACGTATTTGAGTTTCAATTATGGCGTTTCTTCATTACAACACGATAATAACTTCATTTCATATCTCAAATAACTGATAATTACGAGGTATGTTTAAGATAAATGTCATAATTATTAGTTATAGAATATATGGGATATAAAAAAAAACCAATTTTGGCATTTTGTTCAAAAGAAACATCACGATTGAGTTAAAATTTTAGTAATAATTATATATTAATTTAATAAGGGCTAAAATATGAAATACAAAACAATCTAACTAAGCCCTTGTACTATTATGTCATCTAAACAAGCTCTTCAACTTTTTTATTTTTTATTATTAGAGCTCTTCTACTCTTATTTTCTATTATCAAAGTCCTTATACTCTTATATTAATGACATATTAACGTATTTTAAGATATGTGGCTAATAACATGATAAAAAAATGCACACATGTAAAAATAAGAAATTTTTTAAAAAATGATCTAACAAAAAATTTTATTAATTGATATTATAATTAAAAATAATAATATATAAAATTAATAAGAAAAACTGAAATGCCTAAGTTTATATGAAAATTAATAAAAATGATTAATTATTTGACCACCTTCGATAATAATTAATAAAAAAAATGTATATAAGTAAAATTAATAAAAAAAATATAAATTCATATACAAAATATAAAAATAATTTTAATTTCCATTTTACTAATTTTTATATAAATATAAATATTTCTTTTTTATTAATTTTATATATAGATACTTCTTTTTTATTAATAAATAATAATTAATTATATTTTTTATTAATAAAAAAGAATATCTATATATAAACTTAATAAAAAGGAAATATTTATATTTAAATGGAAATTAGTAACAAGAAAATTAAAATCATTTTTTTATTTTTATATTAATATAGATTTTTTTATTAATTTTACATATATACATTTCTTTTTCACTAATTATTTTTTATTATGGTATCAAATAATTAATCATTTTTCTTAATTTTCATATAATTATAGACTTTTCTCCTTTATTAATTTTACATATAAACAGTTTTATTAATAAAATAATAATTTTACTTATATATATATTTTTATTATTTATTTTCGATCATTGTCAAATAATTAATCATTTTTATTAATTTTCATATAAATTTAGATATTTTATGTTTTATTAATTGTATATATTATTATTTTTTATAATTATTTTTAAATATGAGATCAATTAATAAAATTTTTTTGGACTTTGTTTTTGAAAAATTTTTTTTTTACACGTGTATATATTTTTGCCATGTCATTGTTAACATATCTTAAAATATGCCAATATGTTATTAATGTAAAAGTTGAAGGGCTATGATAATAAAAAATAAAAGTTGATGGGCTTATTTAAATAACATAATAGTATAAGGGTTTAGTTAAATTATTTTGAATACTTTAAGGGTTTTTTTATATTTAAACTTTTAACAAAAATTTTTTTTTTATATTTTTATATCGATACGAATTATAATACATAATTTTCATATAAAACACGATATAAGTATATAAATTTTAATATTTTATATGATATAAATATATAAATCATCATATTTATTTATCAAGAAAAAAATGAAAACAAGTGCAATTTTAGGCTTGGTTTAATAAAATGTCTTTTTGTTTACTTTTATTTTTATTTTTTAGAAAATAGTTTTGGTTTTTACTTTTTGTTTTTCAAAAAAAATATTTAATGAACTAAATAAAAATTAGCTTAATATAAAATAAAAAATAAAAAATTATAAAAATAATAATTATTAATGACATTTAATTATAAATATATAATTATTAATTATTAATTATTAATTAGTAACTTTTAAAAGAACTCAAAAAGTCATTTTCTTAACTTACAAAGCATTAAAAAAAAAAAGAGTAATAAGCATTCATTATTTTTATAATTGATTTTTTTTTATTTTATGTTTGAGTTTATTTTCATTTTTATGTTTTAAAAATTTATTTTCATTTTTATTACCAAATTTTCACTGTCATTTTTACTTTTAAAAAATAAAAATAAAAAATACCTATATTTTCTAAAATAAACACTACCTAATTTTTTTTTTACTTTTTATATTTTTGGATGTTTTAGAATTTATAATACATAAGCTATAAAATTTTTACTTGTATATTTTTTACATAAATTTATTAATTTTTTTAAAATAATTGAATTTTTAATTCTACTAATAAATTTTTAAAAAATTTATTAATGACGATAGGAAAATTGTGTTTGCGCAAAGTATTTTTGAATTAAAAGATTTAATAAAGTAAAAATTTATTAATGATGATAGGATAATATCTACTCTAATATTCGTCGGATGATACTTTTGTTTATCCATCTATGTATTCAATAGATAATAATTAATTTAAACTCGTTTTAAATATTAATAATTTTAAAAATACAATAAAAACCCAAAAATTCGTACATCATAAAAAATATAAAAATTTTAAATTGCAGATTACATGTTAATGATTTTACTTCCATGAATTTCTATTGTATCTAAAAAATACAAAAATTCATAAGAAACAACCAAATCACTTCTCAATTAAGTTAATTTCCTATCATAGGCAATCCTTACTCCAAGAAGCCAAAGAGAA